TTTTTTTTTTTTAAAGGATCCTCACGGTGAATTAACGGGAAAAAACGTTTTGATAGTGTTTGGAAGCGTAGACAAAACTGCCGAGCACTTCAATCTGAGTTCCGAAGTTGTAAAATCTCTACTGCAAAAATCTTTGAATATATTATACGAAGAGCGAAAAAAGAGACCAAGACCTCACCTGGACGACAAAATGGTTACTGCCTGGAACGGTAGATCAATTCATAGTGCTGAAGTTAAAAAAAGTTTCGATCACTCAATTAGCTCACTGCTGGTATTTTTCTTCAGGTCTCATGATAAGCGGATTGTCACACGCAGCCTCAGCCCTGGACAATTCTCAGTACGTTGAATACGCCGCGAACACTGCCAAGTTTATCGAACGCTACCTCTTTGATCGAGAGAAGCAAGTGCTGTTGCGAAGCTGTTATCGCGGTGACAACAATCAAATTTCACAGACCAACACGCCGATTCACGGCTTCCAAGTGGACTATGCTTTCGTGATACGTGGCCTCCTCGACTTGTACAATGTCAGTTTTGACCCTCACTGGCTTGAGTTTGCTGAACAATTGCAGGATATTCAAGACAGCCTATTCTGGGACAGCACAGGTGGTGGCTACTACGCGACCGAGGACAATAACTCAGTCATTTTACGGCTGAAGGATGGTAAGAAAGTTAATCATTGGCTTAGCGCAATAAAGCTAAATTTCCGATATTTTTTACCTTTTAAAAAAATACTTTCCAATTAGATCAAGATGGTGCAGAGCCGTCGGGAAACTCAACGGCGTGTGGAAATCTCATCAGTTTAGCCTCGTACTTGGATAATTATTAAATTATTGAAAATTACTTTAAAGGATAGAGTAACATTCGATTGTGTCAACACCTGTGTCAAACAATTAATGCATGGATTCGAACCAAATTTTGGAGGATTTTCAAGCTCTCCTAAGTTTCCTCAGCCAGTTAATTTTAATTTGTTGTTCTCAATGTATGCAAGAAATCCAGAATCGGTACTTGGAAAAGAGTGTTTAAAAATGTCTATACATACTTTGACGAAAATGGCAAATGGTGGGATTCACGATCATGTTGGACAGGTTATTAATATTCTTTCTTTAACCATTTCTTATTTATTATATTTTCTTTTAAAATTTTCTTGTCAACGTAAACAGGGATTTGCCAGGTACTCTGTAGACGAAAAATGGCACGTTCCACATTTTGAGAAAATGTTGTATGATCAGGGACAACTCCTTAGATCATATTCAGAAGCTTACTTGGCAACGAAAAAACCATTCTTTGCAGAAATAACCAATGATATTGTCACTTACGTCGTTCGAGACTTGCGACACCCTGTAAGGACAATCGCCAACAACCATCGAAGCACTGATTATGAAAACATTAATATTTAATCATTGCAGGAGGGAGGATTCTATAGTGCAGAGGATGCAGATTCACTTCCAACACACGAGGCAAAGGAGAAGCAAGAAGGGGCCTTTTATGTTTGGGAGCACGGAGAAATCGAGTCCTTGCTGAACAACGAAACAATAAATGCTGAAGGTTTAACTCTTTGCGATGTATTTTGCTATCATTTCAATGTCCAGCCAGAAGGAAATGTCGGCAGACATCAGGTTTGTATGACGTAAGATACTGAAGTTCAGTGCTTTGTAATGTTTAATTTATTATTT